TTTGGTTTATATTGAACACAGCTTAACTTTCGCTATTTATCTAAATGTTCTACACGCTTACTCAATCTGTGCATATTTGTTAAATATATTTAAATCATTTATGTAAATAAAGTTTGCTTCCTTTTGTAGAATAACTTTTCATTGCAGCCTTTTAGGCGCGCGCCGAAAAAAGAGCCAAAGGAACATAAAATCGAGTCAAATATTTGCAGAGCAGAAGCCCATGACAATGTCACGGCCAGAACAAGCCAAACACACACACACACACACACACACACACATAAAGTATATACATGTATGTTAGTATATGCATAGCTGTAAAAGAGAGAAAGAGAGAGAGAGAAAGCCCACTTGTTCTTTAATAGGCAGCTGAAGGGGTCACAGGAAATGGCATAGACGTTGGCAGGACACTTAAATGCTGCTCAAAATTGGATTTGTGCTGTGGCTCCCCTCCAGCTGCTCTTCTCCTTCTCGTACTCCTCCTGCTCTCTCTCTCTCTCTCTGCTTTACACGCATGCCGATAAAGATTTTTATAGTTAGGCCGAATTTTGCCACAAGTCATGCCGCATCCTTAGCCTTTTGCCTATTTGCTTGCTCTGGCCCGAATTCCCCAACTGCACATTAAGACTTTCTGCTTCTTCTTTTTTTTGTCTACCAAGTGGGAGGCGTGGCGAGTGGAGGCTGGAGACAGCAGACAGAAGACTGTCCCAGTGTGTTTATGCTTATTTAAAAAAGTAGCAGCGCCTCGGAGTTTTGATTTGATAAAGCTGAACGGAAAATGCCAAGAAAATGATAGCAACTCTACTGGAGTATGTGTGTGTGTGCGTGTGTGTGTGTGTGTGCTTAGGTGTCAGTTTAAGGCTGATAAAAAGTCATGCTATTGCCAGCATTTATGCAAGTCACATACGCACGAAGCTTTTAATAATAAAAACAACGAGCGCCCGTTATATGAAAACAAAGTAAGCGTTGCGCCATGGGAGCAGGGGGCGTGGCTGGCATGCTGAAACTGGGCAGAGAGTCTGGGACTGGGTAACAGCTCGGGCGTGTGTGTGTGCGTGTGCGTGTAAATGTCTTTATGTGTGCGTGAGCAGCAGTGAAAGCGAGAGTCCCCGATTGAGAGTCCTACTTCGCAGCTGCTTTCATTGCAGCCGCAAAGTGCGCTTCACATGCGAGCTGATTACGCTTTAACGAAGAGTTTCTCTTATCGGCAACAAGCAAGCAGGCAGGCCAGCCATACAATGAGCCCATGAGCCCAAACAAAATGAAAAGTAATCATTACATGCATACATCAGAGCAGGAGGCGGCAGAGGAGGGGAGACACGAATCTGGCTTATTAACAAGAGATAGAAGATGAAATGAATATTAAAGACTAAATACTAAATACTAGAGATAATGCTAGGAAAGCAAGGCATATATATATATATAAGGATATAAAACAAATATGATTATGATATGATCTGTTAGGGATTTGAAATAATTTACATTTTATTAATTTATTACAAATTGCTGCAATAATTTATATAATTATATAATATATAATACTATATATTATGATATATTTTATATATAATAAATTATAATTGAAAACAGAAGAAACAAAATTTGTATTTTTTTTTTAAATTATTTATATTTGCTGAAAATCAGAATCCAAATGAAGCCGAGACTATATGACTATTAAATATATATTATATACATATGAAACAGAGCAAATACTACATTACATTAACTATCCAATATATTTATTATAAAATATATTTACATATAATACACGTTTTATATTACATAATTAAATTCGATTTTATTGGCATAGACTTTTTATTTTTATATATAATAAATATTATTTCAGTCGCATTTTAATTTAATGGCTTGAAAAATGAAAAGTTTGTTATAGAAATAGAAAATGTTTGGAATGATCTCTAAATAATAGCAAAATAAATAAAATGTGTGTATGTAAATTTCTCAGTCGACATCTCATCTCACAACAGGCAACAAATAAATTGAAATGAAATAGACTAAATCAAGGGACGAGTAGAGTGAATAGACTCTTCAGCTGCTGATAGGCAGCACAATTGGAGCCGCAGATGACAACGTCCGAGTAGATTTGATGCTCGCGACTGTAGGTCAAGTTCTTGATATTGGTGAACTTGGGCTGCATGACGCGCTTCAGCAGATCGCGTGCTTCCATCGCATAGCACAGCTTGCCGCAGAGGCACGTGGGCGCCTCTGAGATGAGTTCGATGAGGATGGCGGGCAGTGTGCTTTCCGAATAGGGCAGCTTCTGGCTGGCCACAGTGCGTGCCGCCTGCAGCCAAAGCTGCGCGGGCGTGCATCCGCCAGTTGGGCGTTTCAATTGTTTACGGGCTGCTTCCATATTGAAACCCTTGAAACAATTGCCCCACACATCCAGCAGATCAATGTGCAGATCCTCAATGCTAACGGGCAGAGATTCCAGCTTGTTGCTAGACACATGGAGCGAGCGCAGCTTCTGCAGACGGCGTATGGCAAAGGGCAGATAGGTCAGATTATTGTGATTCAGATTGAGCGTAACCAGACGATCCAACTTGACCAGATCTGGCGGAAAGTATTTCAGTCCGTTGTCCGACAAATCGAGCTCACAGAGAGACGCACGCAGGTTGCTGCCACGCAGCCAGCACCAATCATTCAGCTCGCCCAGGGCATTATTGCTCAAGTGCAGCGTGGTCAATGAGAGGCGACCCAATTCCTTGGGTATCTGTGGAGATTGAATAAATATATTAATATATACATTAGCGAACAAAGTTGAAATAAATTTTTGTGGAAACCTTGGTTAGCTTGTTGCCGCTGATATCGAGCGTTGTTAGATTGCGGAGCGTGCAGATCTCGAAGCTCAGCTTCACCAATTGAATATTTTTGATGGTCAGCGATTTGAGGGTACGCGGAAAACCTTTGATGGGATACTCGCTACGTTTGTTAATTGTCATGCGCAGCTGCGGCTGGGATTTCTGCGGTATGGCCGTTGTGTTGGCAATGTTCAGTCTCAGATTGATGGCATCTTTGCCCTCCATGCCTAGCTTGAGGGTTTGCAGGAAGCCCTTCAGCTGTATGGGATCACATTTGATGAGCAGATTCTCTGCTGGCTGCTTGAAGCCAATGGTCGCCTTGCCATCTAGCACAAATTTGGTGTGCACACAGTGTATATTGTCAAGCACCTTATATCGTGTGCCGGCTTTTGCCTGTGGCGTAAATAGCACCATTTCCAATTCCTTTTTGTTATTCCCGTTGGAATCACGCGCGCTTTGCTTGTAGCCAATGGCCAGAGTGGATTTGACAGGACGAGGCGTGCGATTTGCTTGCGTTGTGCGGTTTAGAACCTGCACTTCACATAATATTTTCATAGCGCAGCTATTTTGATTTCCAGCAACAAAAAAATACCACCAAATGCCTCGCTTTGTAAAAAGTTTTTGTTACGGCTTTAATTTGCTCGCAGTGTTGCCATGTGGTTAAGCATTGAACAGCTGTTGCAAGCCGATAGCTGGAAATCATCGATAACTAATGCATTTGGCGCTTATTTCCTTTAAATAACATCAGCTGATTTCTTAGAACTAGTTCACGGAACACCCACGCAGGATAATCGCAAACATCGAAAATTATTACAATACGACACAAATTGCTCGAGTCGCTTTCGAAAGTGTTTTTAGAGTAGCTTGACTAGGGGTTTACCCATACAGCCCGGTAGACGCAGAGAAATGTTATTTCGCAAAGTTGTACGCTTTCGTCGACAATTTTTACCGTTCTATATGTTCAATGGATTCTTGTGACAACGTAATGAAACGCGTTATCAACGCTTGCGGTATAACAATTGCGACAACATTCCACAAAGGCGCGAACTAACTGTAAGTATTGCTATTGCAGCTGTTTGTTAATGGCTATGTAAACTTTATATGCAAATTAATGCAAAAGTCAATAACTGCGGTTGCTAACAATTGAAGCTTTCAAAAGCTAACATAGTCGAAAGCTTTGCTGAAATGGCGCGTTAATTATTTGAATAAACAATACAACAATAAAACTAAGTTATGCAATATTTTCTGCAGCATAACACTTTATTGGACAATGATGTGACTCGCAACGTGGTTATCAATATTGATAATTGTGCGCTTTATAGCACGAATGTAAGTATTTCAAATAGAAATGCTATTCTCATTTCGTGTTTTGTATATAATCTGGCAACTTTATTGCTCAACAGTTGCGTAGCGCTACCAACACAGCTGATCATCAGCATCGGCAGTCGTTATCGCTAAGCTATCGATCACTACAGCAACGCAAGCGCCAACGACGCGAACGGTTTTTAGTCATATTTCGCTATTTTTGCGCGACGGTTGCATTCGCTTTGACAGTCGCCTGTGTCGTCTATACACTGAATACAATGGGCTGGTTTTTTGCGTTACTTGCTGCGATCATCGCTTTGCTGCTAACAAGGTCTTGGCGCTGGTTCTACATCGCGGGAGCAACAGCCAAACGAGATTTAACGTGAGTTTCGTGTATGTGTGCTCAGATTGTGTGTTTGCGTGTGTGTGTGGCGTGGTGTGCGCCATAATGTTTTGATTCGTTTACAATACCGCAAGTGGTGTGCATTTCAATACAATTTACATATTCTTTTATAAAGCCATTTGACAATCATCTCTCTCTCTCTCTCTGACCGTCGCTCCGCTCTGCCTTTGTGTCCACTATTCAACCGCAAACAGATCGTCGTATACTTTGCCCATTGTACCCCAAAGCGCATAACAAGTAAAACGGCAAAAAACAAAACGGAAAAACTCGTTTTTGCCTTCTATTGGGGTCGACTGTCTGCAGCAGCCGCAGCCGCAGCCACTATTCATAGATGTGTGAAAAGCTACAGCTGAAGTTTTCTCTTTTTCATGACTTTTCACAAGCATATACATACAAAGCTATGTATGGACATTTTTAATGGCGCCATGTAAACAAAAACATATGCCAGAATGTGTCATCCAATTGAGTTATCAGTTACGCATTTATTTTTATCGTAGTTCCTATATTTTTTATTACCAGTCATTGACTTATTCAGGTTCAAGGTCGCTGCGAACAGTGCCACTAGGTGGATAAAAAAAAAACACAAACCAAAACAAACTTCGAAAATCAAATTCACTTTTCATACACGATTGAGCGGCTGCCCAATCCATGCGATAATACGTGAAGAGTTTCTGCACCGCATACTAATTTTTTTTTTTTTTTTTTTTGTCTTTTGTCTCTTGCGCTCTCTTTGAGCTGGGCGGAAGAAGCAGAGTTGTAGCCACTGGCACAGTTAACAACGTCGACGTCGACGTCGACGTTAGCGTCGCACGAACTGTTCTTGAAAACGTCGTCAAACAACTTACTTTGGGGGTTTTATTATTGCTTGTGTGCTCTCTCGCTCTCTCGCCCTCTGTCTCCAATTCAAAATTCAATTAAAATTTGCGGAAGTAGCACATATTGGTAGCCCAGCGCTCAGCCTAGGGTTGCCTGCGCTCGGCGTTGAGCTCGAGCTAGACTAATTCAATGCAAATGACAATTATAAATGTCCGATGTGCCTGGCAGAGAGGGCGCTGATCTATGGAATACTTTGCATGTGACACGTAGTCTGATGTGGTTGATAGGAAATAGCGGAGAATGGATACTTATATATGATATACGACACATAATATAGTCTAGGCATTGTAAGATAATTTTCCAAAACAGAAGCTAAACACAAGGTTTGCTAGAAAGATCGTATTATTATTATTTTAGAAAGGCATCCTAAAAGTCTATTTCAGTTACATTAGACTTTTGGCTTTTAAGTGTTAACATAAAATCTGGACAACTCAATTATATTTTTGCTTTGAAACTTGATTCGTAAATAATACGAAAAGGAACAGACAATGCAATTCTATGCCAAAACAGCTGTGTATATCTCTATCACAATTTATAATATCAAATTTCGAACCGTAAAGTAAAACATGAATGAAATGTGTTTTCAAAATACAACTGCTGTCCCCATAATACCTCCATCAACTACTCAACTTTCAATCGACTGTGTTGAAAACCATAATTTTATAGATCTCCATGACATATTATTACGTTGCTTGCTTGGCATTGAGAATCAGAGTCGCAAAAAAGTTGCTAAAATTCGTTTTATTGCCACAGAGGCAACAGCAATACGTAAGATCAAGTTCCAGCAAGGCCAAACGAATTTCGAGTTAATGAGCAAAATTCTTAAGATCGGTTAGTTGCTGCAAGTTGTTTCTTGACGACCTTACTCAACTCGCGCATGATCTCGAGTTGGCTAAAAGTGCACAGAAACATAATATATCTGTACATATATATGTATTTCTATGTATAAGCATGCCAATTGGCAGTTTATCGCCTGAATTGACACCCAGAGAAGGCCTCTGACATTATAATTACAAAGCTGAATTAATTTTCAGAGCAACGACATGGGGTAACTAATCCGAGCAATTGCTTAAGCCAGCTATCTTATCAGCTATGCTACACTTACCGCTGAGTGCAAAGTACGCTCAAGTGCAAAGCAAATTCGAGTGCGGTGCAAAAGGTCTATAGATCGATAGAAATACTAAGCTAGATTCTGGATCGTACAGATATAGAGCTGAATGCCCAGTGGGGGGCGATTATTGCCAACGGGGTTGTAGATAACGCTCGTTAACTTTCCGTTATGCTTCATATATATACATATATATATATGAATTATTACCCACTCCAACTTTCCTTAAAATAACATTTGCTTACTTTCTACACTTGAGTCTAATAAAACACTTAACAGTTAGGAGAGTTGGCTAAAGTTAGTCAGGTGTTCAAAATTAATGAAAAGCGCTAAAAACTTTATTTGACAATTGTTTTTGCTTGTTTCTCTAATATATTATTTATTTGATTATATCTGTATAATCTAGTAATAACTTTAGAAACTTTATTCAAGGCAGGCGATCTACTTGAAATTTATTTAAGTTTATTCTAGCTTGAATTCAGATTCTAAAATAACCTTTGATCTACACAGTGTGATTTATGTATAAGATAGAAATCTATTTAGCTGTATACCTATATGTTCTGCTTTAATTGGTAACTCTGACTTGAACTATTTTTACCAGATAGTTGTTTCGCTTAACAGAATTCACTCAACTGGTTTGTTGGGTTTTTATTTTCAGTTCATTCTCTTTTATTATAGAGCATCAATACTAACGTACTATATTATATATTGTATATCAGAAAATGCTAAACAGAAATCAATACAAATATAGTATAGTGTATATAGCTATACTAAAAAGATACCTAATACTAGCATGTATATAGAGGACTACAAAAATATCTGCATATGCATATATCGGAATGATAAACCACAAAAACTACTCGTTCAGCATATTCTTTAATTACAATGCGTGTCAGCTCGAATATCTTTTGCGGTCGGTATCAGATTTTGTGTTCCTCTACACGATCAATTAGTGAATAGAGTATATTGGTTTTCTGCAATGTTTATCCGTTTACTGAAGCGCTATAGTAAGTGGCTTGGAGTATAGAATCGATGCTCACATAGTAGATAAATATGTTAAGCTTGTATGTAACAGTAATAAACCCATATTAAATCTATAAAGTGAATATCTAAAGTTATATCTACACAATCATAATAACAATCGTAAGCGAGTGAATTCATGTGGATAGTTCTTTATTTAATAATACTTTTCTCACATACTGTCATAGTTTGTGATAGTATAGTTAAATTAATATGTTTGCATATGTATATAATATATATATATTAGCAGTATAATAGAATCAAGTTGTTGATTGCAGACTGCACTTAAATGGCTTTAATTCTAGAAGAGTCAAATGATAGGAGTGATATATGGATATCGTAGAAAAATTTTATGATGTATATAAATTTGAAAATATTTTACATACGTATAGTAAAATTCGTATATATTATTTAATAAATAATTTGAATAGTTATACAATTATTTAATATGCTAGTTTACAGTTTAAGCGCGTAAATTTTGATTGAAATTGCCAAATTTTCTAAAATAAATAAATAATACATAGAATACATAGTTAAGTGCTTAATTCAGTTGATAACATTTGCATTTGAATAATTGATAAATAACAGTTGTTCAATTATTAGTAATTAGATTAAAGTACCCTCTTATATTGGACATAGTATATGCATAAATATATAAATATATATATTATATACAAACATTCTTTATGGAATTCAAAATAAAATTTACCTAAACTCCAGCTAGTTATCAAATTCGTAGCCATAAACTTTCGCTCTTGATTTAGTGCAGCATTTGCCTGATTATTCCATTAGAAAACGCTGCAAACTGATTTCACAGCTACACTCGATGGCAATTGCGCCGCTGCCCTTCCCTGCCCTCACAGTTGTGGGCCATGGCTGTATGCACTTTAGGCCTTATCTGGGCACGCTTGAGCTATTTTGGTTTATTTTCACAATCGAGCCATAAAACACGCAATTCCAGTAGATCGATTGATAATGCCCATACACACACACACACACACACGCACACACATTATTTTCGCTTTTTATAACAACTCAGCGTTAATCGTGTTTATTTGCGCTCTTTTTCTTCTTTAGCGCTCTGTGGGCCTATGGAAAGCTGTTGCGCTACACGAAACGGCGTGAACGTCTCAACAACACCGTGGCCGATGTCTTCGAGGAGAATGTGCAGGCGCATCCGGACAAGGTGGCCGTCGTCAGCGACACACAGAGATGGACCTTCCGTCAGGTCAACGAGCACGCGAACCGTGTGGCCAACGTGCTGCAGGCGCAGGGCTACCAGAAGGGCAATGTGGTCGGCCTGCTGCTGGAGAACCGGGCCGAGTATGTGGCCACCTGGCTGGGCCTGTCCAAGATTGGCATCATTACGCCGCTGATCAATACGAATCTGCGTGGCCCGTCGCTGCTGCACAGCATCACGGTGGCCCACTGCAATGCCCTCATCTATGGCGAGGATTTCGTGGAGGCCGTTGCCGATGTCACCAAAGATCTGCCAGCCGACATGGCACTTTTCCAGTTCAACAACGAGAACAACAACACTCAATCGGATGCCATCAAGCAGGCCAAGAATCTGAATACGCTGCTCACGGCAGCCAGTGTGGCCAAGCCCGGCAAGACGCAGATGGGCCACCACGACAAGCTCGTCTACATCTATACCTCGGGCACCACGGGCTTGCCCAAGGCCGCCGTCATCTCGCATTCGCGGTAAGAACAAAGTGAAGTTAGCTAAACTGGGCCACAATCGAGTATTTACTTTAGACCACTATCAATGGGGGCTTTACACCTCTTGAAGGTATTCAATTGCAGTCAATTCAACTCATTCGATAGACTAATCGTTGTAAACGAATGCCTTTCTTCCCAGCTGCTCAAATGCATTCGTGCAATGTCTGTAATTGAATGGCATATATATAGACACTTGATATTCAATTGATATATACATATATAACTTTTTAAAAATAGAATTTGCTTAATTTCGATTCAATTATTCTCTAGACCAAAGAAGATCAAATACAAAGTGAAAACTGAGGGAGGTTTAATGCTTTGTCGGCTTTATATAAATATTAAAGATATAATTTAAAGCGAATATTACTATAGAATTTAATTAAAAAATTTATTTATAGCATAACTATTCAGACTAGAAGACTCGAGATTTATTTATTGTTTTTTTTTCTAAATAATTTACATTAATTGAAATCTCTTCCTCTCCTCGCAGTTATTTATTCATTGCCGCCGGCATCCACTACACCATGGGCTTCAAGGAGGATGATACGTTCTACACGCCTTTGCCGTTATACCACACCGCTGGAGGCATCATGTGCATGGGTCAGGCTGTGGTCTTTGGCTCCACGGTGTGCATACGCAAGAAGTTCTCGGCCACCAACTACTTTGCCGACTGCGCCAAGTTCAATGCTACTGTAAGTGTTGTTGTATTCATTCCGTCTATCAGCTGCCTGATCTGATAATAACTATCCCCACAGATTGGTCAATATATTGGTGAAATGGCCCGCTACATTCTGGCCACCAAGCCATCCGAGTACGATCGTGCGCATCGTGTGCGTTTGATGTTTGGCAACGGTTTGCGTCCGCAGATTTGGCCACAGTTTGTGGAGCGCTTCAACATTGCCAAAGTGGGCGAGTTCTATGGCGCCACCGAGGGCAATGCGAACATTATGAACCATGACAACACTGTGGGCGCCATTGGCTTTGTGTCGCGCATCTTGCCCAAGGTTTATCCGATTTCCATTATACGCGCTGATCCCGATACGGGCGAGCCCATCCGCAACAAGGATGGCCTCTGCGAGCTGTGCGAGCCCAACGAGCCCGGCGTCTTCATTGGCAAAATCGTCAAAGGCAATCCGTCGCGCGAGTTTCTTGGCTATGTCGATGCCAAGGCATCGGCCAAGAAGATCGTCAGGGACGTGTTCAAGCATGGTGACATGGCATTTCTGTCTGGCGACTTGCTAGTCGCCGATGAGAAGGGCTATTTGTACTTCAAGGATCGCACGGGCGACACATTCCGCTGGAAGGGCGAAAATGTGTCCACCAGCGAGGTGGAGGCGCAGGTCAGCAACGTGGCTGGCTACAAGGACACCGTGGTGTACGGCGTCACAATACCGCACACCGAGGGACGTGCCGGCATGGCTGCCATCTACGATCCGCAGCGCGAACTCGATCTGGATGTGTTCGCGGCAAATCTTGCCAAGGTGCTGCCCACCTATGCGCGTCCTCAGATACTGCGATTGCTCACCAAGGTGGATCTGACGGGCACGTTCAAGCTGCGCAAGGTGGATCTACAGAAGGAGGGCTACGATCCAAATGTGGTCAAGGATGAGCTCTACTATCAAACGTCAAAGGGACGCTACGAACGGCTCACTCCCAGCATCTACGAGCAGCTGCAACGCAATGAGATCAGATTTTAGTTGCTCGCCTAACAGGGTTATGTTTTATTTTTATTCCATGGTTCTTTGCCTTATCCAAACCTAATGCTGTTAATTAATGTGTAAGAACCTCTTCAACTAATGCACACTCCCATATATATATATATATATATATATATATGTATATTCATATGTATTTAGTATATAGCAAATTTGTGCATTTTTGTTTGAAACGCATTTGCGACTGTTTTGCATTTGACCCAAAACTTTGTTAAGTGCAATTTTAACGTGCGAGTGTGCGTGTGTTGAGCGCGTGTGTGTCTGTTTAATTTTGTTTGTCTTATTCTTAGTCACTTAGTAGTATATGAATTTTAGAGACCACAGACCATTTCATAAAGTATATATATACGTGCTTATATAATATGTGAAATGCTTTATTTCCAGCCTGTACATACGTGCAGCCATTTGGTAACTGTCCTAATTTTATAAATCCCTTGCTTATCTATCATAATAAAGTTCTACAATCAATTTTTCTTTATTGAATATATACGTATGTATTTATAATGCTTTGCTCAATGCGTTTCTCTTAATATGTCACGATGCTGCTCCCTCCACTTGCATACAAATTACGTACGTACGAAAACACGTAATCGTGTGTCTACAGCTTGACCGTGGATGTTGAATGCAGTGAACTTGAACTCTAGCCGACATGCACTTCACTATAAAAATTTGCTGGCAAGTGCAAATGCAGTTGCATGCCTTCATTTGCTTAATCAACTCTTGGGAGTAACCTTTAGGCCTTACTTGCAATTTATATGGGGTTTATATAGAGCGTACGCTGTTAATCTTGTCGCTAAATATTTGACAAGACTCGAAAATTAAAAAAAAGGAACTGGAGTATCTATATATATATATATATACAAAATATGTGGAGTACCTCACACGACTCTACATTTATCTTGCTGTATAAGGGCTGGCTGAAAACGTATGTTAAATTTTTGACATAAGGTTAATTTGTATATATGTATGTACATAGATATAGAAAATAAAACTAACAAAGGCGAATCACTTCTGAATAACTCAGGATAAATATTTGAGCTAAATTCAATTCACTTCATTAAGTATATAGATTACTATTTGTTTTTAGATATTGGATTAAATAGCATACTAATTAATCCTCTATCCATCAGTTAAATATTTGGCATGATAATAATTAACAATTTTAGGAAAGTATTCATGTTTCAGTGTTTAACAAGATGATCAATTTATTTTATGGATAAATGGAAAAGTGCATTTAGAGCAGTTAAATACGAAGTTTTCTTACAATAAATAACCACAGAATTTTACAAATAAACCCTAATTATTGTCTATAAAAAACTTCTTGGTTAAACTCTGGTCAGAGCTAAAAATAAATAATAATCTGAAAATTTGAAGTCCAATAGAGCAAATAATTCAGTTAGCCATTAATCTCAATTATATTCATACAAATATATAATATGTATGTACTTTCTGATAAAGAAGGCTTCTTCTATATTTCTAATCAAACATTAAACAATTAAAAATGCTTGACATCATGCAACAATTTGTTGATAACAAACATAGTTTATTTTCACTGATTTCGTTTAAAGCGAATTAAATATGTTCTTAATATGAGAGATAAAATTCAAAAATCAATTATTTTAAACTTAAGTAAATGAGCCGATTTGATTATGCATAAAAAGGAACACAATTTTATATAAATATTTATATATAAAGTAAGAGAGAGAGAGAGAGAGAGGGAGATTTGTGCGTTGGCATATGGCGGGGGAAAAAGAAACATTGAACCTTTTACATTTCGTCGCTATGAACTAAACGATAATTATATAATTAAGTCTTTTATAAAAATCACAAAAATCAACACGAATCGATCCCATGGGGATCAGAGCTTGCACAGGCAAAATAGCAGCGGTATGAACGCCCCTATGGCTATGAACACGGGCATCAGTATGGAGGAGTCATCCATTGAATACGGGTTGGGCTGACGTGGACCACTGCGCGTTCGCTTCGATCCTTGCGCCGATTGCTGTTGCTGCGGCTGCTGTTGGGATTGCTGCTGGTGGTGCTGGCGCTGCGGTACATCTGCCTCACCCTCCTCCAGGTCATAGTCATCCTCATCCTCGTCCTCGTCGTAGCCTCGTTGAGCTGGTCGCTCGTTGTAGCGCACAATGCGCTCTTGATGCTGCTGATTATCGCGTGGACGCGCTGCACGCGGCTTGTCCTCTTCCTCTGGCTCGGCCCGACGCTCGCTGGCCTCCGTGTTGTGGAGGCGTGGCAATTGCGAGACGTCGCCCTTGAGCAGCGCAAAGGCATTGATCTTTGGATTGTCGAGTGCGCCCTTGATGAAGTCCAGGCGCAGTCGACCATTGCGCACGTCCGACGTCTCGATTTCACCCTCATATTCGTAATGCATGCGCCCGTTGATGATCTTAAAGTACACGATTTCGTCGTGCGCCGAGCCACGTCCCACCTGATTGTATATATCCAGCTGCTTGACCACCGTGTGCTTGCGATTGAGCAGCACATCGAACACCTTGCGATTGGGCGCATCGAAGTAGACTTCGCAGAACTTCATAATCAGGGCATAGTCGCCATCGCCATCGGCGGGAAAGTCGTAGCCAAAGGTGGTGGTATGATAGCGCTCCGTGCGGTAGAGCACCTCGTCCTGCTCTGGGACACGGCCAATCATGAGCAAATGTTTGCCGTAGTCCGACGCAATGCCCACGTTCAGCGGGTCCGCCTCGTAGTGTATGCCATTCTGATCCGTATGCTCATCACCGCCCGCATTCACAGCATAAACGACTTTCAAAGGCTCCGCCTGCGCCAGTGGCAGGAGGCAGTATAAGGCCAATACCAGCACCGTTAACGGCATCGCACAACTTGCCAGCAAGTTGTTTACGTTGCATTTGCACATGTTTTCCGTTCTCACGGCTCTTTCTGTTAAAGTTGTTCGTTTCTTCGCCATGGTGAATTCGATTTGTCCACTAAAAATTTATCCGGACACGTGGCAGCGGTTTAATTTCTACCGCCTACTTCTTGCTGACCATTAGTTTATCCATTTATTGAACAATATTTTATTCTGATGTGGGCCGCAATGTGCTAGCAACAAAATACCAAAAGTAGCATTAATCGATAAAGCAGATACAATTTATCAACATTTTACATCACTACCCGGCGCGGGATGGATTTAAAAAGAAAACTTAAATTATACCACCAATATAACTTAAAAAATAATACTCCAATAAATTAAAAAAAAAAACTGTAAAGGTATTATTGTGTGAAAAAAATTAACTTTAATTTTGTTACATTTTGTTATTACGATTTGTCTGTAACAAAACATAAATCTCGCACTTATCTCAACAGAGCACTGCACTCATCTTTTTTATTCCCCACAATTTTTATAAAAATATGCCAGCTTTGATTAAATAACCAATAAACATAGTCACTATTCATGGCTGCTGATATAATTTGAAATAATCGAAATTTTCCCGCTCGATTGTTGTTATCGAGCAAAGTTGGCTGCTTCACATTCCGTTGCATAAATATGCTTCACAGCACTGTTGCTGTCGCCGAGTTTAGCAGCACTGCAAAAAGCAGCTACACGTGCGGTTTGTGATTTTGTATGAAAATACCTGGCGTAAAATAAGTTATTATTGCTTAAACTAAATTGTTTTGAAGCTAATAAGCAGTTAAAGCTGCTCTAAAAGGCTGCGGAGTTGTTACAGCCATGAATTTCGATGACGAAGACAGACTCGAGCTGCAGCATTTGGCGGGCGGCAACATTGTGGAACATGCGCCCGTTTTCTCTGCTCAGGGAAGGTTAGTTTAAACCACATTTAAGTCGCATTAATGCAAATACTTAATTTTCTAATGATTTGCCTAGATTTGTCTTTGTGCGTTGCGGCCTTAAAGTGCAGGTATTTGTCACCAGCACTGGTGAATTGACACGTGAACTAACAGATGCAACGGCGCCGCTGATAAGCCTCGAGCTTGATGTGAAGCAGCCGGAACTGCTGCTCGGCTGCACCAGCACAGGGCAAATGCTACGCTGGCATTGGCGCACTGGCGTGCTGCAAAAGAATGTGAACATACAACTGGGTGCAGAAGGTCTGCAAATACTTACGTGTAATCTGCTGAATCTGTACAAGGAAGGTGACACCGCGTGCGCCTTTATAACGGCCAAGCGAAAGAGCGGCGAGCAGATCGTGTGGCATGTGGTCAACACAAGCACAGGCGCCGTCATTGACATTCAATGTGGCCTCAAATTAAAGTGAGTTAAAATGACAAACGTAAAAAAAGTTAAAAAAAAATTGCCGAATATTTAAATCAAATTTATTTTGATTTCTTCAATATTCACCTGTTGCCTTCTCTCTTCACAGAATTCGCACACCCTTGGTGGATGTGGGCAAGGGCTCCTTTAAGTTCATAATGCTAGCACAGAGCTATTATCTCTACTTCCTGAACTACACGACGTGGAAGTTCTGGCGGTTCAAGAACCCAAATATGGTCCAAATAACATGTGTACGCATGAGTCCCTGCGAGGAGGCGGCAGCCACGGGCGATGAGTTGGGCCGGGTAATCGTCTGGCGGCAATTTGACAATCAGGAGCGTGTACAATGCACCGAACATCATTGGCACCATACGCCCGTAACGAGCATTGCGTTTACGCCCAGCGGTATCAGTTTCTACAGCGCCGGCCATGAGGCGGTGCTCGTCAAGTGGACACTGAGCAATCAGGATGAGAAAAAGTTCGTGCCGCGCATGGCCAGCATTATCAGACACATTGTGATTAGCGACGGGAATGAGCATGTGCTCGCCTGCACTGATGACAATGCTCTGCACTTTGTGAGTCCCAACGAGGGGAAGCTGCAATCCACGCTGCAGCATTTCACCTATGCGCTGCCAGACAAGACGGGCAAGCCCATGTTTCCCATTGGCCTGTGTCTCAATCCGCGCACCAATACGCTGGTGCTCAACGGACGCATTGGACACTTGCAGTTCTACTCGGCCTACACAAAGAGTATGCTCTACAATGTAAGGGAATTTGAATTTTAACTAAATTCAATATTAATCTAATACATTCTTCTGTGACAGCTTCGCGTGGTGGACAACAATGTGAACTCACAGGAGTCGGAGCGCATCATCTACAATACGTGCGTCACCCGGGCCGCCTTCAACATAAATTGGATGGCCACGGGCGAGATGTACAACGATCAGCGTAACTTTCCGGAGTTGCGACTCAAATTTTGGCAATACCAGGAAAAATTACAACGGTAAACTAATTAAAATCGAAATTAACATAAGCACGAGCAATTATTATCTGGTATCCTCCCTTTGCAGTTACAAACTGAACACAAATATAGAGCTGCCGCATGAGCACGGATTCCAGGCCATCATTTTTTCGAATCAGTTCCAGGTGAAAGATTTGCGCTGTGCCAGCGCTGGCCAGGACAATGTGATCAAACTGTGGACTTTGGGTGATTCGGAGAATATTTACAAGCGTACCGAAATGTGGAGCTGTGCAGCTCAAGCGAGCTACAAGCGGCAGGCGCTTGGCTCCATATGCTTCTCTCAGGATGGCTCATTACTGGCTGCGGGCTATGGCAGTACTCTGGTACTGTATGATGGGCGCTCGTTGCGACAGTTGCGTGCGCTGAGCACATCGGCGGGCTATGACGGTGTCGTGGCCAAGGCCCAGCTGCGTCTGGCGCCAATGCCCATGAATGGCACGCGCACAGAGCTCACGCAGCAGCGCCAAAAGCTGTGGAGTCTGCTGCAAACGTTGCTCGACAGCGACGATCAGAAGCTGGTGCAGCAGGCACGGCAACTGATGTCCAGTGCACCGATCAGCCAGTCCAAGGCCAGCAACGAACAGATACCTAAGGAGTCTGTGTACAAGCATATCATGAAAATTCCCGAGCTGGGACTGCATCAGAAGCTGCAGCTGTTGCGTCGCTTCGGCATCGAGTGCACCGTCCACGAGGCATGCCACAAGCGCCTCAAGGAGTATCTACAACAGTTTCTGGTGGATCCCATGGCGGTGCAGCGACGGCTCCTAACATTAGAGGCGCGTTTGCACCGGCTGCAGCCGCGGCACCGCTTCAAGGCGAAACTGCGACTGACACGGCTCAGCGACAGGCGGAAAAACTACGAAGAGCTCGTCAAACAGGAACTGCTGCCGCTCTTTAGTGTGCTGAAACTGGACGAGACCACCAAGGCAGCCAAGCCAATGTCTGCGAAGAAGCGTAAACGCTGGGAAGCGACGGCCGCGAAGACGCTGCCAACGAAGGCAGCGCCACTCCAGACAGTTGCCCAAATCTCGCATGTGCAATTCGGAGCTGGCGCGCAGGCGCACCTGGTGGCCGTCTGCACAGAGACGCGTGTGCTCATCTGGAACCTAATGACCCTCCGTCTGCAAGCGGGCCTCAAGCTCTCCGTGCGGCAATTGGCCTTCGATCCGCTCACCAATCTGATAGCTGCCGTCACACGCAACGATGAATGTGAGTAGCTGCAGCAGTCTATCGAAGCCTTGCTTTACACTCTCTTTTCCATGTCCATTCCAACAGTGCACGTCTTCCAGCCAAATGTGCCGCTGCCCGTCTATCAGCGCAGCAATTTGCCCAAGCTGCATGGCCTGGTCTGGCTGCCGCGTCGCCAGCCCAAGCAGAGCTCCATCAATGTGGACTTTCAGGCGCAATCCACGCTGCATATGCTCACGCACAACAAAGAGATAGTCTATCTGGCGACACCCGGTCAGGGCACAATGGACGATGCGCCGGCGCCCATTTCCTTCGCCCAGCCATCGGACGCGGATACACGGCTGCAATACGCCACCTTTGGCTGCTTCGTTGCCAGTAAGAAGTCCAACGTGGTCAAGCCAAATGTTCAGACTAGTGGACCGTTGATTGTGGGACGTAGTGCGCACAGTTCAGTGGATGCGGTAAGTTTCTTGATACAGCTCACTTATCAGGGAGGGTTTCAAAATAGAGTACACATAATTTATAAAACTAAGACTGTGTAGATGCTGCTTAGCAGATATTTGCACATCTCCCGGTTTAAGGTATATCAATTATTATCAGATATAGAGTTTGCAAAATTAATAACAATTTAATTAGATTTTTGTATTGGGTTTTTCCTTTATTTATTGGCAAGTTCCTTAAAAATGGTTTATATCGAAATCGGATGTTTAGTATATATGCTTATATATGCTAAAATAGCTCTATTTCGGTACTACTGTTTCTCTCTAACAAGTTAATACATTGATTTTGGTTTAGTATTAGCATTTATATAGGAAATCCATAAAGGGTTCTACTTCATTTGTCCCGTTTTCCCTATCCATCTTGTTTAAAAGAGAGGAATGATCCATTTGTTGTTTTAAACTTTCTTGGCCGATTATATTTCAATGCGTCTAATACAAATGCAGTTATCAAACCATAGAGAACATTAAAGCTTTCGATTACTAATTTTAAATATCAGTATACTATATGTTTTTATAAACGAATACATATGTATAGGATAGTTTTACGATACAATTAGTTTTATTTCGTTGCAATTCTATGCTTTTTTTCTCATCCTATATCAACTGACCTGACTAGTCGATCTAATATTATTCAGAAGTATTATTTATTATTATTCAGTTTTAGTAGTAGTAAAAAACTCTTGGGTATATCTCGCCCTTCTTGGGTTTCTCATCTTTTTATTGAAACCTTACGCGCTATGAAGTACAAGTGGTTAGACTTAAGGTTAGTTTAGGTTAAATACACATATATATATAACATAATAAATGTTTATATTTATATGTTTATATATAGAATGTATATTAATATATAATTATTTTGTTTTTGGTTTGGTTTTTTGGTCTTGTTATAAATCCTGTTAAAATTCTATTTGTAATTGGAATTCGTCTTGTTGTTCAGTCGGGTGCAATTCATGTTTTTCTTGCTGCTGTGATTGTTGATGTTGTTGCTCTTGGCTCAACTCGTCACCTGATCGTCACACTCTCTATTTCTTCTTCTTGCGTATGAGCGTCTCTCCAAGGCGTGGCGCCGTGGGAACACGCAAATGTCGACAGCGACGCATCATCAGAACGTCGTGCTTAAAGTAACGCAAACAATGCCATTGGGGCACCTTGGGCATGAGCTGTTGATGCTATTGTGGAGGATTACAAAAAATATATTGAAAATTTAGAGCATATAGAAAGGGGGAGACGATTTTATTGGATTTATTTTAATATCGAGCTGAGTTATATGAATTGTTCTTCATAAAAGTGATGTCTTCTAAAATTATTCCATTAGATTATAGATTATTCCTGATTTATGAGTTATTCTATATTTTATAATCAATATTTTCTTCTCTTAGTTTCATTTCATGGCTTTCGTGCTACAGTTCAGATCAGTGGCGTCGTAGCTTTTCTGGCAGCCAAGTGTCTACACTTTTCTATTTTGAACTCAATTTGAATAATTTCAATTCAGTATAATAACGCCATTCTCTTAAAAGTTAAAAGGCGCGATTGTATTGTCTATTTCTGGATGCCTTTCAATTGGCTAGACTCTGCGGGGGGCATTATCATATCAGCATGGCAACTAGATTAGCTTGGCATAGGTCTAATTTGGATAGCTGAGAAAACCGTGAAGGTACTAAAAAAGTTTACTTTGAGTCGCGCTCAAAGATCATTATTCATCATAGGCTATAAATTAATCACTTTGTTTATTTATAATGATTTTTGAAAACACCTCGAATTTTTGTCAGACAAATTGATAAGAAATTTCACTCTGCATATTAATATTATATAATATAAGCAAATGGAATATTCTCTGATCATAACAAACAGTTAGGCGTGCTGATTAACAGCCGCCCAAGTCGTGTTCACGGCCTTTTGATAGCCAATTAGAAAGTAATCTTTTAATTAACTGCTGCACAATGTTGCAGTACCCCGGAAAAGTATGAAATTCTTATTATAAGCGGTATGAGAGAGAGAGAGTGTGAGAGTGCAAAGAAAATTAAGAATTTCTTTCTTAGCTTGCAACTTTTTTGCACTTCCTACTTCTCTTCGTACTCGTACTCCACACAACGCCGCACGCCCCGAAGCTCACCTCATTCACAATTGGCACTGGTCCAGCTTGCGCCCAGGCACAGAATAATGCAAGGCAAAGCAGCGAAATAACGCCGAAAAAGTTGGGCCACATATCGGTATACTTCACTTAACTGCACTTTTTCTTCTTCTT